AATACAGGGATGTTCTTCTTTTCTCTGATCTCTCAAAAACCATTAAAACTGAATTTCTCTGGGTTCTGAACTGACAAGACATTTAAATACATCACAATGGACGCTGGGATGGACTTTTTGCTATTTTCTGACATTTTACTGACCAAATGATTAATCTAGAAAAATAACTGGCAGATTAATCGAGAATGAAAACAATGGTAGTTGCAGCCTTAATTGATACAACAAGGCCGCCAGGAACTACTTACACATGATTACCTCAAGCAAATGCCAAGACAAGCCAAGCACCTGCCAGGGAGTCACCTAGAGGAAATATTTTTAAGCTCAACAGAATAACAAACACATAATACAAGTGCAATATATAAAAAGGAAATTTGTTTTGCAGGGATTACTCACTTATAGTTAAGTTCAAGCATCATTTCAAGGCAGAGGAAAAATTGAGGCATAATCCATATGGAATTCACAGAGGCACAAGATCACAACAATGGGGACGGGAGAAGAGTGGCAAATAGCAAAACCTTGAACTAGTGAGCGCTTTTCTCGTTACAAATACTACACTTACAACTACTGATCAAAATTCATAGAAATTGTACACAGTGGGCTGTCCGGTTAAAAACCATGTAACCATATATCATGCAAGGAAAAACCTTTCTAGTTATAAATAAATGGTGGCAGAGGACTGACCAACACTTTTGAAAATATCCAAGGTCACTCTTGGTTCAGGAATTGTAGATGTTGGAGAGAAATACAGGAAGGATGTGACTGTTCAAATACCACATCTTGAGTATGGCCTGCAGTGTGTTCATAAATTAATGTCAGGCAATGAGCTGCAGTTAGTAAATGATCTTTAAGACCAGAGCGTTAATAAATAAACAAGCACATTCAAAAATGCTGTTAGATGCTCTACTACAGTGTAGAATACAGAGCTAGTACTAGTTGGGTACTTGAATGTTAGACCAGAGAGATTAACAATTGTTCATCTCATTTTTGTGCAACAATACTTAGATTCAAAATGACGACAATTTAAAAAAACACATTGGGCAACTGTAGAAGTGTGCTTGAAGGTGAGGTTTTGATGTGATAAAGTAATTAGCACTTGTATTGTTGTCCTATCAAAAGGCCACACACACACACACACACTTTGAGTTTGCCATTCATTTGTTAAAACCTCACAGTCATTCGCACACAGCAGTAACAGGGGGGAGAGAGTAAAAAATGGACAGTAAATTAAAAACAGCATGTTCCTTGTTCTGTTAAGGAACAAGAAAAAATAACAGACATGGTTAACACTTAAAGGTTTGTGTTATCTGATCTGGTTCTAATGAACACAAACCTCTCATGGAATAGAGGACTCTTTACAAAAGCCCATGTTTCAAACATTACTGCTCAGATTCTGACCTTCGATATCGGGCTCTTCTTGGACCCGGTGGTTTGCGAGTTGCCACAGCAGCGGCAAAGCTCACTAGGCAACAGACGCAGCTGATACTGAACTTGGCTTTATCCATCCAGCTCAAGGAACTAGTCAAGTAGCTCTCAGCCAGGTAGAGGCACAGGATGACGAACCACAGGACAGAGGCCACAGCATCAATTCTCCTCAACCTGAAAATGCAGCAACATTGGAGCTTGGAGTTTGCTTATGCTTAAACTACACAAGTCTGGGACATCCCTTCCAAAGTAAAATGAAGAGGTGGTGACTACTCACCTTACAGGTCCTCCTAAGAAGATAGCAGTGAGACAAGTTAACAGGCCAACAGAGACTACAGCCAGTTGGTTGTCTCTTCCAAGCTGCCACACCAGCTTGGCATTTTCTATGGCCTTGTCTGGGAGCAGCTCCAGGAGATCCTGCCATACAAGTATGGCTCCACTGCTTTCGTTTTTCGGGGCAGATTCATTGGAGGGTTTAGGCTTTGGAGGAGTGACCCCACCACTTAGGGTCTGCGGGCCACTAGGGGAAGTATGCTGGTCCGGCAGTTCACTGAAATATGTACCAACTAGGAAAGCACATATCAGGAAGGCAAGGGCCCGTAACAGTATGACCCCGATTGGAGAAGACACAGAATTGGAGCTCTGCGGGAGAGAGAACATGTTTTCACTGTTAATACTGAGGTTTTCACAACATATGGAAATCAATACACTATGCAAAGACTAATGCTGACATGTTATAATAAGGAGGAAAAAATACACAATGAGGATGTAGCAGATTCATGTTTGCACTTTGACTACACCAGGGTATACCAACTTAATGAAACTAACAAGAAACATACTTCATTCTGCACTTACTATACTTAGGACTTAAATAGTTGAAATGTGTCAAAAAAAACAATATACATTTAAGACCGTATTTATTACTGGTGTGGGGGAAGAAAACCACAAACTTATGCACTCCATACATGACTTTAGTCTTTAATAAAAGTATGGGATATCAACATAGCCCATCCGAATTCAACAGAATTTACATGTCATTCATTCGTATGGTCAACAATTTTCCTACAGCATAGTGAGCGTGTGACAAACATCTAAGTTATAATCATCTTTTTAATTTAGTCTTTGGCAGAAATGTTAACACATCACCGCCTATGGTTACCCATCAAGCCTTACTGTGTTTCATGTAGATTCAATCATTTATTCACACTTCACTTGTCTGCAGTTTTGGATTTTGAGTGTACTGACCTTTACGAAGCCTTTGTCTGATTCTCGACTGCGTCGGAGCTGGTGGTTCAGCAGCACTGTCCGGAGCTGACGGTTTTGATATTTAATGTAATACTCCACTGCTGTCTGACAAGGCCTGCACAACTTATAGGTCTGCTCCAAGTAGTGCTTGTAGGCCTCAATTTCCTCGTCATAGCTCTCCTACAACAGAAACAAACCATAATAAACTTAGTGTTTACAGTTGTCAGGCATGGCAACAATAAAGTTGTAGTGAGTAGAAAAGCACAATACATACATCATCCCTCGGGATGAATGACGCCAACTGCTTGATCTTTAAAGACTGGTTGTTGTTGCACTTCCTGCACAGCAGCATCTGACAGTTGACCCACTGCAGTGTCTTGGGCGCCTCAGATGTGGGAAGGCTACCAGATACTCCATGGTTCAAATGCTCCATGTACTGAGCTGGGATGGGTTTATTGTAATCCCCATTCTGAAAACAAGACCGATTAACAGAAAGATCAATATAAAAAACACTTTTCACTTGCAAAAGGGAAAAAACAATAATTCACTTCAGTTTATAGACTTGCCAAAAATTAACATGTTATAAACTTTTGAAAACATACCTCCTGGAAGCCATTGTACTGGTCACAGTTAGGACAATCCCAACAGTTCCTGTTCCCATAGGGCACCACTGTGTCCTCATTACAGAACCAGCAGTTCACATTTGCATGGGTCGGCTTCTTTCTGTAAATTAGAGTAAATGGTGCAACATGACACTTAATTAAATCCGAGGATGCATTTCTGAGGTACAAGTGTTTTCACGTGGCTCCCCAAGTATCACTGTTCTATTAATGAGGCACCATTTGATAACTGTACTCAGTGAGTTAGTGGAGCACACTGTTAAAGATCCTGTCAAACTGGTTGGCTGCAAAAGTTTGGGAAGCCCTTGTGCTGTTTTGGTAATGAATACACTGAAAACAATCACGTTGGCTCAATAATTATGTACACAATAGCTTCCGAAAAACAAACACTAAAAAAAATGTGTATTCAAATGGTTAAAATCACAAGTTATCGTAATGTAAATGTCACAAAACTACGTAACTCAGCATTAAGTTAAGCGTAGTTAGCCCCACGACTAGCAACGTTAGCTCTGTGCTTAGCGTACGATAAACAGCCCACTCTTAAGAAACAAGACATGTATTCAGACATTTTTAGTGCCAACATTATTCCTTGTTCGTCACAATATTGAACCACCAATGCATTTTTTTTAAACACAGTTTGCCAACTTGTGCTAACGTTACCGTGGTTGTAGCTACAAACAGGCGCCGCGGTGCAAAGAGCTTCAACTTACCTGGTGGCGATCTTATATATGAGCGTCCCACAGGCGACAACCGCCGTAGCTCCGACTCCGCTGTACATTACTTCAGGATACTCCAACAGAAGCTGGTTAAACGCCTCCATTTCCTCTGAAACTAAGCTAACAAAACATGAAAAATGTGTTAGTGTTCTTGTACCGCAAAACACGGCGCGAGATCGCACGCGGCAAGCGGATCCCCTTTTGTTCACGCCCATGCACCGGAAACGGAAGACGCGTAATCACATGGACGCGTTCGAATATTGTTATTGATTTCTCTCTTGTCGACTGTACCGTTCACTAAACCCACCAATGGTTAAATAATTACCTAAACCTGAAACTTTTCGGTCATAAATTGAGTGTTTTGTGTGTTCGCGTTCATCAAAATGTCAAAATCAATCACACTGTGATTTGTTTCTTAGCAACGCGTAGTGTAGAGGACAGGGAGCGTGATAGTGTTGGAATGTGTGCGGGGAGAGTTTCTGTCTTATTTTCCCTCGCATGGTTTGAATCAGATACTACATCACGGTTTATTAGAAATGACAAACATTACATTTGTCACATACACAGTCGTAAGTTTCCAACTTGAACACTTGTTTTCGAGAATAATTAGCTTGTTAAAACATTACTGACATAGCTGCATCTTGTCACCCACAATTATATAATGGATATAGGATCAAGGTACAGTATGGATTTTAATGATATAATATCAAATGTCATGGCAAAAAACAAGAGACTGACAGATAGATAGAAATATAAACAACGTGTCAATTCTATGCATCAATTAATAGGAGAGAGAGAGAGAGAGAGTCATTATTTGAGCTTACCTCTAAAACTTTGTCCATATATGCTTAAATATAGTAATGCCTAAGTTGTGTTAATTACTAGTTTTACGGTGAATAAATTCATTAACCAATTATTATTATTATTATTATTATTATTATAACGTCGTCAGCCATAATAAATGGGTTTTTAGAGAGTAAGTCAATAAATGCGAGTATTTGATGCAAAAATAACATTTTATTTGAACAAACATGACGTATTTTACATCAAGTAAACATTCACAATCGAATAAGAAAACTCATCAGTGCTTCAGTGTCACCAACTGTTGCATAGCAGCGCGGGGAATGGGATGAAACCAAACACAAGAAATAAATAACAAAGATATTTCAAAAATAATAGAAATCATAAAATTGTAAAAAACAAAATTATAAAAAACACAAAGTATAAAACAAGTTTATTTTGTTGCAAAAAAGATAAACCTCAGAGTTCATCAGATGTATCCCTGCAGTTCACACCGTGCCATTTCTACAGCTAAATGCAATGAGAATAAAAACCAACAGGTTATTTAACAGTTAGCCTAATTAACAACGAAGATATTTACACTCCAACTCATCAAACTACCAAACAACCCGACAAACGAACTGAAATGGTTTAGTGATTAACTTTGTTTTGTGTAGCCTACTGGCCATCAAGAATAGGCTAACTCTAAACCCTACAGGTCGTATGAATGACCCAGCGGCGCCTCCGCCTGCCTTGCATAGGAGGTGAACTGCTGGTAGCTACACCCCACGGAAGCGGTGCCTCCGTCGGGGCTCATCGGCTGGGTCACTCCGCCGTAGGGACACCCGTTGTGGGGGACCAGCACGGGCGGGTGGCGGTGGTAAGCGCCGTATGCCGGGTGGTGGAAGTGTGGGGACGGGCAGTACGAGCTCACCGGGCCGCTGGGGGACACGCTGCGGGTGTGTCCGGTGATGACCTGCGGCGCTGGGTATCCGGTCGTTTGGGACGAGCTGGGCTGGCACAGACCCCACGGGCTCACATAGGGCTGCAGGTAGAGCGGATCGGGATACTCCACGGGGTTCCCGGTCAGGTAAGGCACGCTCGCCGGTCTGTAGGGTCTCCTCACCCTCCTCCGCCGCCGGTAGTTCCCCTTCTCAAACATGTCCTCAAAAGCCGGGTCCAGCATCCAAAAGTTGCCCTTCCTGTCCCCTCCGCTCTCCCGGGGCACCTTTACGAAACACTCATTGAGTGACAGATTGTGTCTAATACTGTTCTGCCAGCCTTTTTTGTTCTTCTCATAGTAGGGGAACTTGGAGATGATGTAGTCGTATATTCCGCTCAGGGTTTGTCTCTTGACGGCGCTCTCCTTGATGGCCATGGCGATGAGAGCCACGTATGAAAACGGCGGCTTCTCCAGGTGGCCGGTGTCCTCCGTACTTTTGGGCTCGGGAGGGGGCGAGTTGGAGCCGATGTCCAGGAGCTGCACTCCGCTGTCGGCGGGGGATTTCTCCTCTGCATCCATGGCATCCAGGTATCCGCTTGTGCGTCCTGCTGGGGCAATAAAAAGCTGCAATATGTGATTGCGCTATGATTGTGTCCGCAGGTGCACACACTCCTCCCACAGACACTTGGAGCAGCAGATATTCTTTCATCTCGCCGTGTTTCTCACAACACCGTATGGGACTACTGTGCAGTCGGGTTGGGTTAAACAGGGGTCACGGGACACTGTTGTAACAGAAATCTAAATATTATCACTGTGGAACAGGACGATCAAAGACCAAGTGTCCCATGTCTTTACGATACATTGTGTTGTTAATCATTTTGTAGTCATTAGGCCCACAACAGATGGTCACTGCGACCTTTTGATCAATTAAGCTTCTTTTTTTTAAAGACATTTATTTAACATCCATTTATGTTCAGTTTGTAGTGTAATAATGCACCTGAGAGCTAATTTCAATATTAGAAATCTGATTTACCAAAAAAACCAAAGAGAACCACTCAAAAACTTAATGTGTATATTAATATTAACAGAACTTTTTTATCATCAGTGAAACCCTGACATTTTTATCTGTGACCAGTTAGTTAAGTTAGCTCTTCAGTCAGCTGCTGATCATTTTTATTACAGTCTATTGAAGCACTTGTATATATTTATATATATATATATATAGGCTACATAATATATATAAGAAAAAGATAATAGGCTACATTGAAAATTATGAAACTAACACCCTGTTTTAGTTTATGTGTGTGTGCGTGTATTAAGATATAAGTTGTTTTTAGGAGATGTTTGTCCCCTTTATGACGCATTGATGCACACACATTGAATTAACTCAGAGGCTAACAATGTGAGGCAGCTGCGCCTCTTTTTAGGGACAGGAGATTAAATATCAATGCTTTGCAAGTGCATTGACGTGATTGGATTATAATTTTTTGCCTGAGAATGAGATTTTGAGATACCTTGATAAATTAAGGTTGCACTGCAGAAGCATCAAGGTATACAGCCAGAGACGGATCCAGAGAAATATTGATGGGGCAGCAAGAGGGTGGCATGGAGACTTTAAAGGGTGAAATAAATATATGCTTATTTAATTGCACACAATCACATATATTAATATTTTCTTGGAAAATCCCCCAAATGAAGGTATTTTAATTCAAAACATGATATTATTGTGGCACATTACTAAAGCATTGAATAGAAATATCTACAGGTGGTGTTAGAAATTAGTACATTTACATATTTTTTCATTGAACTTAAAACTATCGCTCATTTTTTTTTTTACACCTTATTTTTTAAGATTTAAATTAGTGTTCAATTTGACGGCATTTGACACCAAACTGGGGTGACCAGGCATTTTTTAGGGGTGTGAGCTGCCACCCCTAAAGATCCACCCCTAAATAGCTATCCACCAGTAGCAACTGTCCCCAGCATCATTTGGTTATTTACCACACTGACAGTGAATATTCATGTATCTTTAGTGCCTGAAATAAAATGGCTATTATAGCTGATTATAGTTCAGTTATTGTAGCTGATTAAAGTCTCACAGCAGTTTGCACAAAGCACCATTCTTTCCCCTAAAAGGGGGGCGTGGCCTTGGCTCTTGCTGCTTGATGATGTGATGCTGGTCTGGTCTATTTCCAGCTCTTAAAATGCTACAGGGTAGAGAAGTATTGAGGCTTGCAGGTATCAGAGCCCAGAGACCATACCACCCACATACAGTGAGGCATGAACAGCAGACCTGTCTGCTGAGGATGGTAGATAATGATCACCTGCTCTCACCAGACAGTCTGTCTCCCGTGAACTGATAGGGAAACACAGATCTCAAAACGTGCAACCCGTGGAAAGACAACTTTGGAGGATTAGAGGGCATTTTGGGTGTAACATTGTTATCACTGTTATTGGAGTTTCATTGAATACCTTTCTTAAACAATACATAAGTACAGTAATAATAAACATTTTGCAGTAAACTCTATGATCGCAATGGTTTCCAATATCATAAAACTTACAGTATCATGCTGACATGACAAAGAAATGCATATAAAATGATGCACAAGACATCTGGAGTTTAATGGTCCAGTCTTAAAATATGTCAATATTTCACTCAACAGCCCTCTTTCCTGCAGATTAGGTTCATAAACTCAATTGTTTTCCCAATAAATTTCTAGTAGACAAGTTTGCAGTTGACTGTAAGACGGATACAGCTGTGAAGTGCTAGAACAAGCACATATACTGAAGGCTGTCCAACAGGGTGGAAACAAATCTCTTTAATATTTATGTGAAATATAACAACCATCAATAGATACAAGTCAGTAAGAAATATAGGCAAGAAAAGTTGAGTCTCATGCATCTAATTAAAGTAGAAATCAGCCAGTCAGAGGATGTTCTTGATGCTCAGGGCCTTTTTGTTTTTTTAGAAAATTCAGTCTTCATGGTCCGGGAGCGTCAAGGAAATAGTTTTAATGAATCCTGATAGACTCATATGTCTCATCTGCTATCCTGAACTTCCCTCTCTGATTTCTTTGTTTTATGAATAACTAATAACAGTGACAAAAGGAAACTGGACTGCACAGAGAAAACTAGATGTACCTCATGGTGTCATGTGAGCAAAACAAGGCGCCAGGCTAAACACAATCTGTGTAGTTTAAGGTATTTGAGACTAAGAATGCAACTAAACTGCCAAAATAAAGACCATGACTGCTGGGTTTAGACAACAGGAAAACTGAGAAGCTACAGCCCACAAACATCCTCAGGTCTGATCCAGAACGAGTAGCGGTTTCAAGGCCGTATTCAAGAACATTAGCCGTGTTTTCAAGTGATCAACAGCCTTCACATATGAAGTGATTTCAAGCGTTCAGAACATACAGTTTGTTTAAAGGTCTCCCTGTATACTGCATATTTCCACATCAATGAGAATGAAAGATTAGTGCTTGTTTGTCCTTGATGCTCTCTGGTTATTTCTTTCTAATGGAGAGCTATAGCAGACATACCACAGCAACTGAAAAATGTGCAAAGGTTAGTAACTGGTCAGGGACCAATATGACTATATGTAAAATGAGAACCTGACAAAGGCTCTGTGTACTTTCGTATGCTGTTTATTTTAAAATATATTAATGTTTTGTTATCAGCATGGTTGTATCAAAATATCGTTATTGAAATCACCTGTAACATTCAATTTTGCTGTTAATCTGATTATCCTGTTATTGTTACACTGACAGTTGAGAGGACTTTGTATACACAATAACTATGAGATTGTTATATTGTGTTGGAGGACAATGAACTCAATATGTTTGAAGGTTTTGTTTGAGATCAGTGTAGACTGATTACATAAAAAAAATTCTAACTTCTTGTTCTTGAAACCCAAAACATAAAAAATACCATCTGGACAAGGACAGCATTACTATGACGATAATAAGTACCCTTTTTAAATGAAAGGGAAATGTACTACTTTATCCTAATTATTACAGAACTAAATTCAGATTGTTGCTACTGGAATGGTTAATAAAGAAAACAAAGTACCGAGTGACACATCTATTTTTTGCAATAAGATTGTTTATTTGAGAAAAACACATTTGTGCTGTTTCATGGTAGAGACAGAAAGTAACTAAGAACTTTCTGCTAAGGCCTGGTCCTTGAAACTAAATCGTGTGACACTTTCTGCTCCACTTACATTCAACGGCAAATATTTGACTTCTGCTGCTCACTTACAAAACATACAGTGTGATGAATTTAACAATGATGATGTGTAAGTAGCAAACAACAACATCTGAATTAGCACTGTTAATACAGCAATCAATTAAACAAGAGGGTCCATTCCTTTGAATCGGTATCTTAGAGTTAGCTTCTATGTCAACAAAGCAAACACATTTTACAATAATAATAAACTTTATTTATACAGCAAATTTATACAAAGGGCTTTAAGTGGTTTAACTCCTCAGAATACTTTGGCCTGCACAGGTTTTTGTCAAGTTAGCAGCTGTCAGGATGAGTGCTTGAAAGAAAAAAACAATGACTTTCAACCTGCTACAATCAGGAACTTCCCTGCAGTCATACCACGAATACCTTTCATGCACAGATGGTGACTACACAGCTGCACTGGTCCAGAACACCAACTCGTCTTAACAGATCAGGTGGCTCAACACCTTTACTTATTCTCTTCTTCCTGCAGGCTGTGTGTGTTTGTGTGTGTGTGTTTGTGTGTGTGTGTGTTTGTGTGTGTGTGTGTGTGTGTGTGTAGGTGTAGGTGTAGTAGTAGGTGTAGGTGTAGGTGTAGGTGTAGCGAGGCTGCAAATGGTCCCATCCAGTTGAGTTTGAGGCCACAACCATGATGTGTGTTAGTAAGATGAGTGATGTCCAGCTGCAGACATTTTCTCAATCCCAGCATTTCAAATTTTTCCTCCTCTGGCTTCTTAAGAATCTCACTACACAGATCACTGGGTGGATTACCATCCTGTTAACACATTTTTACAAATCAATTTTGTATCAATACAGCAAAGTAATACCATCTCTTGAGTGTTTTGGCTTATATTCTGTATTATTTCAGTTAAACCTTTACAATGGGCTTTTTAAGGCAGATGTTTTGACTTCTTGTAGTAGGAAATGCACACATGTTATATCATGGGTATGTGTATAACATTAACAATGGCTCTGTTGTATTCAGTAAGTAAATAAGCTATGATAGTGAGTCAGTGTAAACAAAACAAGGAACCCGAAACTGAGGAAACTAAATGGAATTCAGCCATCATTGGCTTTATTATTTATACCTGTACTTTTTCTGTAAAGCATCAAAATCTCTCTCTCTTTAAGAACAGCTTAATACTATGTATCCTCTCAAGATTTTACTTCCAGTGGCTTTTAAAATGTGTCACCACGAGCTGATTACATATCCACAGAAAAAGATGTGTTGTTTTACTACAGTAGGGTGAGCAGGTATGATATATGACTCACCAAGACACCTGCAAAGCTGTGATCATTGATAAAAGGAAATGACAGTATGTGTAATGGCTTCTGTCTAATCACACATGTGGCAGACCACAGCCGACTCCTTGAGTTACAGTAGTCATTTTAGGCACCACTCCCAGACCTCCCTAATCCATGGATTATAGGGAACCTGAC